CCTATTAAGTCATCACAGGTTTTCCAGGTGCTTCGTGCTAAATGGCACATCCTGTCGGCACACACAGAAAATAAGGCTTTCCACATTACAGGGGAATGAGAAAATTCAATGAACAAAATAAACTGATGAACAGGGCGGGCATATATTCTTTCTGACTGGTATTCAGACTCTTAGGGATGTATTCCCAGAACTGGGATTGCTAGGTCAAAAGGCAGATCCGTTTTTTAATTTTTTGAGGAAATTCCATACTGTTTTCCATAGTGGCTGCACTGGCCTGCATTACTACCAATAGTGCACTAGTTCTCCACATCATTGCCAGCACTTGTTTTTTGTTGATTTATTGATGATAGCCATTCTGGCAGGTATAAGACGGTATCTCATTGTGGTTGTAATGTGCACCGCTCTGATAACTAGTGACATTGAGCATCTTTTCATATGTCTTTGGCCATCTGTACGTCCTCTTTGGAGAAGTGTCTATTCAGGTCCTTTGCCCATTTTTTAATGGGATTGTTTTTCTTCCTAGTGTTGAGTTGCATAGTTCCACAAATCCCAAACAAGTGACAGCTGGCATCGGCTTGCCCTGTACCTCTTGCTGAGCGGCCCAAGCCCAGCACAATGGCAGCCAACCTCAGTTCACAACAAAACCTCTCCCAGGACCTCTAAGCAGAGGCAGCTGACAACTGCAGATCACTATGTAGCTCCCACCAGGTTGCCCAGGGCCAGGCACAGGCAGCAGCTGAGCTTGTTCTGCATCAAGGAGACCCCAAAACCAACAAACGTGGTGGATGACTTCAGACTCCACCAGAACACCACCCAATCAGCACCAGAAAGGACACGCCCAAAGGGTGTTCTTGGAGGGCACAGAGCCCTGCTAACGTGAATCATTGTCCTTGGGATCAGCCCTCACACAACAGCTGGTCTGTGGTCATGGCCAGGCCTCACAGCCAGTCATCTGAGGGTCAATCCCACTCAGTGATGTGCCAACAGCAATCAAGGCTCAACTACAACAGAAGAGCACAAACAACCCACACAAGGGGTACCACTGGAGCACCCAAAAACCAAAAATCTACAAGAGATATACAATAAATAAAGAGAAAGGAACCCAAATACAACAGAAAGTCATCAACATACAGGAGAGCAAGAGGATAAAAAAGGAACAGAGAAGGACTATAAAAACAATCAGAAAATAATAAAATGGCAATAACTACATACCTATGAATAATTACTTTAAATGTAAATGGATTAAATGCTTCAATCAAAAGATGAATGGATAAAGAAGAGGTGGTGCATATACACAATGGAATATCACTTGGCTATGGAAAAGAATGAAATCTTACCATTTGTGACAAAGAGGTGGACCTAGAGGGTATTATGCTAAGTGAAATAAGTCAGACAGAGAAAGACAAATACCATATGATTTCCCGTGGAATCTAAAAAACATAAAGAAACATACAAAACAGAAACAAACTCATAGATACAGAGAACAGACAGAAGAGGGTGGAGGGACTGGGTGAAAAAGGTGAAGGGATTAAGTACACATTGACAATCACAATATAGTTGTGGAGATGCAAAGTACAGCTTAGGGAATATTGTCAGTAATATTGTAAAAGCTACATATGGTGTCAGGTGGGTGCCAAATTTACCAGGAGAACACTTTGTAAGTTACACAAATGTTTAACCACTATGCAGTATGCCTGAAACTAACACGATATTGAATATCACAAAAGGTGACTCCCTAAATTTTAGCCCAGTTTCCAGTTTTTATTTTTTTTTCTTCCTTTTGCCTTCCTTTCACCTTGTGCCTAACAGACAAAAAACATTACGTATTTGGGGGTTTCCAAATACATATTAATTGAAAATCAGTCAACATTTTTAGTCAAATCAATCAGTATGAACTCTCTTAAATGTATCTTAGTTAACAAATATCAATTCTTAAACAAATGCTGCTTCTTTGAACATCATCAATGTCTAAAATAAACATTCTATATGCCATTAAAGTGCCTAAGTCTGCTTATTTGCATAAGCTCCAGCTTTTGGATATCTATTGCACTTTCAACAAGGAAATAATGTCTCCATAACTGTAAACTGACAAATATTTAATATATATATCCCATTTAGGGAATAAAAATATTATCTGAGTTTATGTAAAATCCATTATTATTAATTTCTGAATTGCTCTTTTGCTTTTAATTCATAATTTGCTGTTTGTGAACTTTAATTTCCTATAAAAATCCCCATTTCTTCATTGCTCAACCATGCAATACATAGACAGCAGCTATATTAATAACCTCTCAAAGGTGCAGGGCACTGATACGGCTATTTATGCTGCTGTCTTGAGAAAAGCATATTTATTCTGTTCAAGTACCCATGAGACATGGAAACTATTCTTTTTTCAGTCTCACAGTAGATAGTCATTTCAAAACTTCAATTACTATTTCAGCATGTTCCCTCCATTACCATTTTCAGCACCACAGCCAGTAATTTCTAATAGCAAAATGCACTTTATAAACCATACACACATATGCTTTGCATGCAATGAACACACAAAGCTATGTACAAATGATTAATATCTGCAGAAAAGTAAAATGTATATGAAAATATCAATATATAAATCTTGAATATGAAAATTTTATACCTCTCAGGTACTGATGAATGACTGTTGAATGTATGTACTAGTATACATAGATGTATATATTTATCATATATATATACTAGTATATCATATATCTTAGAATTGAAGAAAAATAATCATACACTAATATTCAAATATTTCTTGAGATTTATGTCAGTACAGAGCTGTTCTTTGTGCTACAGAGATTATGAAAAATAAAGTAATATTTCTGTCTTTGAACAACTTACAATTGTAATAAATATTATTCTTTTTATTGAAATGAGGTTATTGAATGAAAAAACTGATGGTTTATAGTCTCAATCTTACTTTATGTATACCTTAAATTCCGTGGAATGGTTATAACTTCTCTTCTTATGTGACATTTTGTTTCTGTATTAAATTAATCTTTTTCTTGAATCTATCATCTATTTTCCCATTCTTTTTGCCATAAAAATGCATACATCTAATGAGACAGGACATCTGGATCTCACCATTTTCAAACATGATTTTCAATATATTGTCTCTTATAATTTGTCTTAAGTAGAGGACACCATAAAAAATCAACCTTTTGCAGTTTACTGTTCTATTAACTGTTGGGATATTGATGAGTGTAACCCCAAAACACTTATTACTCAGTGTTCACTTTATAAAGAACAATGCAAGATATTTCAGGTCCTAAAACCACGAAAATAGTTTCCTTAAACTGATAATGTTTCCCTATTTGTCTGGCAGCTCTCATATTTGTCTAATATATAAAGAACTCTTTTTAAAATTGATTTTTAGAGAGAGTAAGGGAGGGAGGAAAACATTCATCGGCTGCTTCCGGCTCACGCCTCGAACCAGAAATTGAACCTTTCGGTGCACAGATGGCGCGCCAACCAACTGAGCAGCACCGTAAACATCCTTAAAAATTGTTTATGAATTTGTACATAAGCCTTTGTAACTATTTTGTCTTATTTTTTCATTAACCCTATTTTAATATTTATTTTTATGCTATCATACTGTATCTCATTTTTAAGCCTTTCAAAGCCAGGTAATGAATAAAAATCTACCTGTGACCAGAAAGTTCTACTTGAATCTGAGAAAAATCTAGATTCTTATTCTGCATTGCCATTGTCAAGTGAGTAGAATATACCTGTGGCTTCCATTTTATCATTTTCTCCTTCCTCCCTAATGCTCTGAAATCTGTCTTCCCTCTCCATTCTATAGATAGCCTTATTAAGGACCTTGCTATATCCTAGGTGTTTGAACTTGGGAAAGTAACTGGATCTCTCTATGCCTTATATTCCTCATTTATAAAATGGAGATGGAAATGCCTCTATCAGTTTGTTCTGAGGACTAAATGAGATGGAGTCCATGCAGTGGTTAGCATGCACTAAGTGCCTAAAAAATGGTGCTGATAACAATGTTGTAGTAACTGGATAATTCCCCATACAACCTGATTTTTCAGTTCCTTCATACTTTTAACAGCATGAGCTTTTGCTAGTCCCACGGGCATTAACATTCATCCTTGACTCTGTCTTGTCACCTTCTCCTTCCCCATCAAGCCAATTGTTAAATAGTTTGTCCTCTCCTCCTTACCATAGTTCTCAAATGTGTCCTTTCTCTGTCCCTCTGACCTCACCCCATTTTATCAGGGAGTAATCCACAGGGTGCGGTGAATCCCTGAAAATGTTCTCTGAGGCAGAAGAAGAGCCAACAGGATTTTGAGTATGTAAGACACTGAAATATGCAGAGATTCCATAATCACAAATAAGCAATCAAGAATGCCAGGAGGCTAGGATGAGGTGCTCATCTTCAAACATAGCTTAATAAAGTTTATGAAAAAAGGGGGCTTTATTTAATTTAGATGGAAATATTTAATTTGTAGAATGGTGGTGGGAATAAATGTTATCAGTGATTACTGGTCATATGAAAACTAGAATATTCATTATTGGTCCTAGATTAAATTAACTAACTATGGAACCTGTGCTACACATCCACTGCCCCCAACATCACTACTGCTGGGCACGTAAGTGATTAAAATGGCAAACTGTACAAATGGAGGTCGAATTACAGTTAAAAATTCATCTCATCCATATCAATGCCTATATAGAGTAATTGGTGATTTAATTTTTTTAAAAAGGCCAACAAAGTTACCAGTGCTTTGTATTATATATTTTATGCTCCAATCTGTTGCTATGTGATTATTAGATTGGAAACACATTGGGAACCTAAGATAGTGGTTCACACATTACAGATTTTCAGTAAACATTGTTAAATATACGAGCTAAATGTTGCTTAAAGACTGCATTACACCTCAAAGAGGCCATTAAAATTTATACTCAATAGAACAAAGTTCAAACTATTCAAATGTGTTAAAAGACCATTTTTATTTTGAAGACTTTACCTTTACATACGGGCCTGTGATCACTCCAAGCAGCAAAGACTTCAGCTATTCGCTGACAGGTGATGCTCTTAGCGCCCTGTAGGACATAATCTTCATCACAAGAAAACTGCACAGTTGATCCCAGGCTAAAATTGAACAAAGGATTAAAAAGCAGGATTAGAAGCATATCACATAATGATTAGGCTCCATTTCTACTGGCCATATCCAAGAGGTCAAAAGCGCCTCACGGTGACAAAAGTGTCTACTCTGAAAGCAGAATATGAAAAAATGACTTGAGCAAATGTTTAGTAAAAGTCATAAACAGATCTATCTTTTGTAAATCAGTAACATGCAGATATTGGTAGGAATTGTATAAAACTGTCATCAAGTTTAAGTATCTTGTTATTAACTGTAGAAGCCAAGGTTAAATAATTGAGTGTCTCATCTAAGTAGGTGGTGATTGTGAGGCAAAAAGTGGGTCTCCTAACTTGAATCCCAGTGCTTATATTCATACCACATTACAGCACTTCTCTAGCAGGTTTTTATATGTGTACGAGAGGCCCAATGCACGAAATTCATGCAAGGGGCTCGGCCCTCGTAGCTGCTGCAGCTTGCCTTGGCCCTTGCAGCCCAGGCTTTGTCCGGAAGGTCGTTCGGCTGTCTGGTCTAATTAGCATATTAGGCTTTTATTATTATAGATTGACTTGGACATTCCTATATGTATATGTTTACATATATTTAGGGCTTCAAAATGATTCTGATCATTTCTATAAAATTAACCCATCCTTTATTATTTATCCTTTTGTAATTAGAATTTTGTTTCCCTTTCCACTGAAAGTAAAGTTACTAAAATGTTTATTTTAAAAAACCCTAATTGCTAAGTTTAACAAATGTTTTTCTGAAATAAACAACTGCTCCTGCAGTTTTATTCATAAAATCCTTAAACAGAAACTCACCAGCAAGATATATATAAAGGGTGTCCCAAAATTTACGCAAGATTTGAATGTTTCGTGGGCATTAACAACAACAAAAAATAAAAGCCTAATTTTACTTGGTTTGTTGAATCAGATTCTAATATCTGTTGCCCTTTGATTTCAATCCCTTCAATTTGATACGCCTTACCAAGTACCAATTATGGTCCAGGAGCAGGGACAATGAAGACCAATGAAGACCATGGCTTTGCATATGTGCCAGCAAAGCTGTGGAGGCCATTTACTCTATGTGCTATTCCATACATAACCCTATACTGTATACTTTACAAATTAATAAAAAAATTTACAATATTTAATTATAAACCTGTGTTTTCTATCAAAATTACTTCTTGCGTGAATTTTGGGACATCCTTTACAAAGTCCAATTTCCTTAACTTAACATAAAATATCTTCAAGTAGTTAAGTCCCTGGCAATTCCCACACATGATGAGCCCTTCCAGCAGCTGGGCTTCTGTACCTGCCATGAGGCTCTCTGTCTGCTTTTCCTGGCCCTTGCTGACCAGAGGGCCTTCCCTGCACCCTCTCACCCGGCCTGTGCCAGAATAGCTCCTCTAGTTCCCTGAGCTCTTCATCCAAGGGATCACCTGACCACACTTTTGTTGCAAGAAAATATTTCTGCAAAAATGCAGAGGGCAATTTAAAAGGAAGACAAATAGATAAAGGGAGACCACTAAGAAAATAACAAATAACTTAGGCCAAGGGTTAGCAAACCATATCCTGCAGCCCAAATCTGGTCCCCTGCCTGTTTTTACACAGCCCAGGAGCTAAAAATCGACTTTATATTTTTAAACATTTGAAAAATCACAAAATTAATACTATTTTATGAAATGTAAAATATATATCAAATTCACATTTCATTGTCCATAAATAAAATTTTATTGAAACACAGCCATCCTCTTTCATTACAAAATATATGGCTGTTTTCATGCTATAATGTCACAGTTGGGTAGTTACAATGGAAACACTTTGGTCTATCCTATCTAATAAAGAGGGAATATGTTAATTGACCCTCATGCTGTTGCAAAGATGGCTGCGCCCACAGCCAATGAGGGAATATGCTAATTACCTGTCACACCCTCAAAGATGTTGGTGCCCACAGCCAATGAGGATGTAATATGCTAATTGACTGTCACACCCTCAAAGATGGTGGTGCCCACAGCCAATGAGGATTGAATATGCTAATTGACTGCCACACCCTTAAAGATGGTGACGCCCACAGCCAATAAGGAGGGAATATGCTAATTGACTGTCACACCCTCAAAGATGGCAGTGCCCACAGCCACAAGATGGTGGAGCCCAGTCCCCTCAGCCCCATTGGGGTGGCAGGCACATGGACCGGCTAGACCCATCCCCAGGCAGGCCTGGCCACTCCGCGTGCCTGCCTCTGGAGACCCCCAGTTCCCTGTAGTCAAAGTATAAAATGTTTACTATCTAACCCTTTAAAGAAAAAGCTGTCCAACTTCTGTTCCAGACTAAAGAAGACAAAAGGTAAGAAGTAAGTGCTGGCATGGCAATGAACAGAAAGGTTAGTATAGGGGAATCTAGGCATTAGAATCCAGTCTTCACCGGAGTTCTTTCCTTTCTTTCTCTCTTTCTTTTTAAAAAGTGGTTTTATTTTAAATATAAAACAAATCAACAAAACAAAATCCACTGTTCATTGAGTTATCATGACGTAAACACCCAGATATCAAGAAATAGATGATCTTAGGGTCTTCTTGGACTTCTTCATGACTCCCAAGTTTTATTCAGATGACCTTGTAGCCTGAGCAGCCTTAAAAATTTACTAATGATTAACTTCCTACCTTTTCTTACTTCCCCACCTCATAAATGAAAACTCCATCCTTCCGACTGAAGATCAAAAACCATGGAGTCATTCTTTAGTCATTTTTTTCTCTTATTTTACACACCCACTCCCCATGGAGCAAATCCTGTTAGCGACACTTTCAAAATCAAGAAGCTAACATGTCTCACCTCCTACAGTGTCACCACCATCATATGAGCCACCATAATTTCTCATATATATTATTGCCAATAGTCCTTTTGCTATGTGTTGGTTTCCTGTTTCTGTTCTTGGCTCCTTGCAATCTATCCTTAAATGGCATCCATGGCAATCATTTTTAGAAAATGGTTCAAATTATGTGATTTCTATGCATCAAACCTTCTATTATTTCCTCCATTTCTCTCCTTTCTCCTTCAATCTCTGTTCTTTAGCTGCATTGACTTCCTTGCTCTGGCTTAAAAATATTAAGGATGCATTTGCCTCAGGGCCTTTACATTGCTCTGATATCAGTCTGGAAAATGCTCAGCAAGAAGGCCATGTCTGTCACATCCTCATTTCTAGTTTTTCTTCACATCACCTTATTCATAAGGTCCGTCGTGACTATTCTTTATAAGACAGCTAGTCCTATTCTGTAATCTTCCTCTATGGTATTTCCTTTACATTTTCTGATACATTGTGCATTCATTTGTCTACTTATTGCATCTCTCAGTCCACAAGAAAAACTCACAGTGCTTATCTGTTTTGTTTCCCAACCTGTCAAATATATCCTAGTATACAGTAAATTGTTAGATACATATATTCATACATATATGCTGTAAATTGTTAAATATGTCTATCTAATATAATAATAGAGAAACATGGTAATTGACCAAACTTTCGCTATACCCCCCATTGGCTAATCAGTGTGATATGCAAATTAACCGCCATCGTTGTTGGTGGTTATTTTGCATATACCGCTGGGAGCGAAGACTGAAGATAAAATGGAAGCGAAGTGCTACAGAAGGGAGCTAAGTAGAGGCGGCAGAGACAGGAACAGAGCCAAGGCTGAGGAGGTGGGAGGCGGGAGGGGAAACCCAGCCAGAGTGGCTGGGAGCGGCAGGGCATACCCGGCCACAGCGGAGGGGAGCCGATGGGCATACCCGGCCGCAGCGGATGGGAGCGGGAGCGAAGCCCGCCTCAGTGGGCTTTGCTCCCTTCTGTGCTTTGCTTCAGCCGCAGGAAGTCCTATTCTTGCAGGAATCTTCCTGCAATGGGCCTCTAGTATGTATATATTTGAGAATGAATAAATGTTCTTTATAATATATGTAATAAACAAAAATTTTCATGCCATATCCCTATAGTGGGGCAAAATTATTCTCAGGTAAAATACCTTCTCAAGGATATTTTAATGGCTTTTAGTCCATGTGCACTCACCTCCCACCACTAGACACAATTGCTACGGTCCAGAATCAGATAAGAAAGCAATGTGATCAGAGCACAGCAAATGAAAAAGACAGTGGTACAAAATTATGTTAAAGAAGCAATTAGAAATTGGAGTCAGATCATTTATGAATTTGTAGGTCATGCTAAAGATTTTAACCTTTACTTTGAGGGGATTGGGCAGTTATTGTAGGACTGAGAGCCAAAGGAATTACATTATGTGACTTTAGGTGTTAAAATGATAATACTAGCACTGGGTGAAGAACACAATTTAAGGGGCAAAGGCAGAATCAGGGAGTACGGTTAATTATCTATCCAGTAATCCTAGCTCTCATGGAGATGCAGTGATGGTGGTTTGTACAACAGAGGTGGTTTTCAGAAACTAACAATGGTGAAAAGAAATTGTTTAGAAGGCCTTAGAATAGGCCTGGTCAACAGAAGTAATTTACTAATTTCTTCCTAACTTAATGAATTCATGATTCTGTTGAGGTCACTCTGCTGGTCACATAATTATAATATGTTTGTTTGACCAGGCTCTTCTTGCTAAAAATAATAAATTGCATCTTGTAACAAGTGTTTGAGCTTGTTTTTTGTTGTTGTTTTTTTATAGCAAAGCAACGCACTTACCCTGAAGACAGACAACTGGCAATAATAAACAACTAAGTGTATTGCTACGATACCAGACTTGCCGGGTATTTGCATGGAATAATTGAATCCCCTCCCCTCCACCTGAAGTTTAACAGTCTCAGCAAGGTTTTCTTCCTTTACTACGCTGGAGAAGTAGTTTCGAACTGCAGTTAACAGTTTGAGCTGCAGAGTCCCAGAGGCCTTTCAAACCCTACCGCTTCCCTCGCTCAGCTTTATGGCCTGGAGACAATAAAAATCTCTCCAAGCTTCTTCATCTGCGGTGATCACATAATGAAATGTAATTTATAACGTACACAGGGCTTCCCAC